TCTCTCTCTCTCTCTCTCTCTCTCTCTCTCTCTCTCTCTCTCTCTCTCTCTCTCTCTCTCTCTCTCTCTCTCTCTCTCTCTCTCTCTCTCTCTCTCTCTCTCTCTCTCTCTCTCTCTCTCTCTCTCTCTCTCTCTCTCTCTCTCTCTCTCTCTCTCTCTCTCTCTCTCTCTCTCTCTCTCTCCCCCCCCCCCCCAGTGTGTTGCTGGTCATTGTTTCTTGAAATTTCAAAATAGATTCACCTAAAAGGCCATAGTCTTATTTTATGGGCAGCGTGTTTGGCTGGATTGTCTATTTTCAGATTATCACAACTTGATTCACTGTTGACGACACACGTCGTAGCATACTAACCTTCCTCGTGAGTATTTACCCAGCTGAAAACAGAAATAGAGAATAGTACATATTGATACGTTTCAGACTGTCACTTTTTTCGAAAAGTATTTTCTACCAAGTCACTTCAAAGTTGCTTAGTTACGCAATGTGTTGTATAGAATTAGTTATTATTATTAACGCAGGAATAGTGCATGGTGAAGAAAACTGGCGCAATGAGTGAAACATCATTTGTGTTATATATCCTGGAGAGGGTGCTCTGGTAAAATCGGTTCATTTAATCAAAAGTTTCCATAACCATCGCAAGAGGGCGCACTGGATAAATCCTGTAAACCGTTATATAAATCTTAATTTCACAATAAAAGACAATTTCAAAGGTTTGTTTACAGTGCAAACAAAGTAGACAAGGATGTTTTATGAATCTATTCTATTCGGGGCCGTCGAATAAGAACCGAGAATAATCAATATAGCATACTTTACTTCCTTACCAATGCAAACATGATCACGACCCTTTTTCATTGGGTATTGTTACTCATAGATTTCAAAATATTTCCGTTGAGTGGACGCGTTTAACCAGCCGATTTAAATAGTCAGTGACAAAAAGCGGCCAAGAAATGTTAACCACGCGTACTCAATATACACCAATATTGCCCCCTTTGAGTGATATAGGGTTCAACAATCACATGGCGACGCGCCAATTTACCTTATAACTGGTACTGATGTCAGATTTGAAACCGGAACCATGCGCATTCTGGAAAGGTAATAAAGTCTGAAGGAATTTTAGTTCGCTTACTATATTTTTTGGGTTTTGTCTATTTAGTTGTTGTCTATATACTAGTTTCGAACAATTTATCTAGATTCATTGACATCAATTCGGGTTTAAAATCTGTTCTTATAATCTTCTGAATAATATGAATTCCAAATCGTCCACTTCTTACAGCTTCGGTCACAGGCAATCCCGGTAATAGCAGTCACGTGAGCGTACTCTGGGTGAATACACACTTTAATATGTGAAAATCAGAGAAATCAATATGTGATTTTTTTCCCCACTATGTTAATTAATTGTTAATTAATTGTCACCTGCTGCTACTAATTCGGGTTGTATGCGTGAATTAAAAACACGTTTTATTCATCGCCCGACATCCAACGTACTAGTAGTGACTTCAGGTCCGAATTACACCGTAAAATCATGAAGTTAGTAAAATGTATTTTCAAGGCAGAAAAACAATCATTTACAGACTAAGGGAAAAGTCATGGTGATGTTCGTCGTTACACTCATGACAAAATAAATGTCAGACGCGTAGTATCAACCTGAATTTGATAACGACGTTTCTCAAGCCATTGCTGAAACCGGTCTTTCGTATTGGAGTTAGTATCGCTCTGTGCTAGGGTAATTATTGAAAATTCAATAAAGTTTGATACGCGTTAACCCGCGTATCACGATCGTAGTAACGATATAGTTTGTCCGATAACTAATCCAATGCCTTATTTGTCTCTCTACCATGGACATATGATTTATATTGACCAGAAGGAGTCAAAATCGATCTCCCTTTTTTTTCTGTTTTCAATTTTATCACGGTCCATTTTAGAGTACGAATGTGTGTGAACTTTACAAAGAACACGTGCAATATTAAACTACAAAAAAATGGCAAATTTTCCCGCACAACATACTACGCCACCATTAAGGGGAAGGAGCTTGGAATGGAGAACGGGAAGCGAATTTCAACTTTACTACAAAACAGGTACCATAGATTTTTTTTTTTTTTTTCAAAAATTAAATTTCTTAACACATAATCATCAGTTGGTTTGGAGACGAATGTTAACAGCCCTAAAATACCAGTGGTCGCTTTTGCTGTTCTCATGGTCTATTGGCGGTTTTTCCAGTATGAAAGTGAGCGGCTATCCACAAACGTTTTCCGGTAGAGGCCGGCAAATGTCACGTGTAATAGAGGTAAATAATCCTAATGACAATTTTATAAGGTCATAGAAGTCTAGAGAGTTTGTCTTTCTAAACAACACCAGAAAAAACAAAAAAATACGGAGGTAATTATTAACTGTATGTGAGAAGGTAGATTTCACATAAATTACAGACTGATTGGTCATAATTTAATGTACAGATAGTTCTTTCAATTTGCAACTGAGTCTGTCGATGAGGGCGCAGTGACTCACGTTGACTGCCAGTGTGAAAAGGCCCACAAGAATCAATGGTGTATTGTGATATGTAATATTAATTATTGTGACAAATAATACATTGGTGGGATAGGTCACCTATATGTCCCTACTATGTATACAGAATTTATAGACGAAACACTTTTGTATATAACAGGTAAGAGCTGCTTATTAGGAGATATGTTTTCTGAAGGATTAAATCGGGGGAGGCGTACTGATATTTGTATAACTGATTTTTATAACGCTCAAAGGGGTGAACAGGGAGTAATGTTATATTTATTCTTTATTATTCTCGACCCTCAGCGATGGTCGTCATTGTCATGGATACATATGATTCCAATCCTACCGATGGATTTCTGATTTTTCCAACAAGATATTGAATAATGTTTACCGAGATTATGGCAGGCACTAATTTTCCATGCATGTCACGAAGGTGTTTCCTGGCACAAGTTTATGGTTGACACAGAATTGCTATGCAAGTCATGATGGTGTTCCCTGGCACAAGTTTATAGTTGGAACAGATTTTCTATACACGTCATGACGGTGTTCCCTGGTACAAGTTTATGGTTGACACAGAATTGCTATGCAAGTCGTGGTGTTGTTCCTTGGCACAGGTTAGCCGCGTTTATGGTTGGCACAGATTTGCCACGCACATGAGCGGATTTAGAGGGGGCCGAGGGGGCCGCGCCCCTTTATTTTTAACAACCAAGAGGG